GAGAAGCAGCCACAGGTGGAGAAGCAGCCACAGGTGGAGAAGCAGCCACAGGTGGCCAGACGGGATCCTCGGGCCCCCCAGCCGACGTGGCAGTCAGTGTGGCATGAGGCAGGACGGGCTCCTCGGGCCCCCCAGCTAGCGAAGCAGGAGGCTGGACGGGCTCCTCGGGCCCCCCAGCAGGCGAAGCAGGAGGCTGGATGGGCTCCTCGGGCCCCCCAGCAGGCGAAGCAGGAGGCTGGATGGGCTCCTCGGGCCCCCCAGCAAAAACAGCCGCAGAACCAGCGGGCACCGGGGCCCCCGGCACACACAAAACAAAACCAGGAGGCACGTAGGCCTCTGGCGCACGTGAAACAAAACCAGTAGGCACGTGGGCCTCTGGCGCACGTACGGAGGGCTGCAGCTGCGCAGAGCACTGACCCTGCTCAGGCAGTGACAGCCCGGTGCAGTTCACAGCTGGCAACTTGGCCTCCAGGGGTCCAGAGTAAGCTGAGGGCAGTAACCCAGCCTCTGGGGAAGCCCCGGAGTGAGCAACAGTCTCTAACGTTGCCAGCTTTTGAGGAACAGGTCCGTTGTAAAACAGTTCATCTCCCTGCTTAGAAACAGCGGTGGAAAAACAGTGTGAATGTTGTGACTCAGCCATTAACTGAACTATGGGTCGTAGCGAGGCTAGCGGTGGTGGTGGCTGAGTGGCTAACTGGAGCGGCGGCAGAACCGGTGATTGTGTCCGTAGGGAGGCTAACGGTTGAGCTGCAGACTGGGAAGCTTGTGGCTGGACACCGAACTGAGCCGGAGAATGGCAATAAAGTTCTGGCTCAGAAGGAGCGGCAGAGAAACAGTCTCTCGGTTTTACAGAGGGTTTGTACACGCCCACTTGCGAAGGGTCTGTTACCACGAAGGTGGGTAAGCGACCCGTACAGTCTCCCATCCCGCTCTGAATAGCCCCAGAAAATAAAGTCCCGGAAACTGGGGAAGCCAATGCATCCCGCTCACTCACCGCCTCGGGCTGCTCGAACGTGAATGCAGACGGGGGGTGTAGTCCGAGGTCCAAAAGAAGAAGCTCCTGCTCCCACGAACAAAGCGAGCCCAGAAGCCATGGGAGACCGGTCACCAGACGCTGTAGCCGCCTCTCTATAGCGCGCTGGGACGTGCCACCCGGGTTTTCCAGCCACAGGTCGATGAGCTCCTGTGTGGCATCGATTAGGTTCTCCCGTAGCTCCTTGGACGGGTTAAGCGCTGCTGGGTCCATTTCGTGGTCGCGTCGTACTGTCACGGTCCGGGGCAGCGGCCGTGTGAAGAGTGGAAAGGAGGACTCAGATGCAGCACTTACTCAGATGTGAAGGTGATTTATTGACAATACTGAACATAAAGTGGAGATGGCAAAACAGAACTAAGGACGAACTAAACTGGGAGAAACTACACAAAGGGAGTGGCAAACCTGAACATGAAGGGAGAACAGCAGGGAGGAGTACATTGCGTACAACACAGAGAGCCTCATTCTGACACTGTTGTGTCTCCCTTCCCAATTTAATGGTAAATGCAAGAGGGGATTCAAAGGATAAAACATGGACTAATATAAGAGATGTTTTATATTAGTCCATATACAAAAGGTTTGGGAGTTTATTATGTTCAATCTTTTTTTTTTTTTTACAACTCTTTTTTCTAATCAATTTTTTTTTGATCTTTTATAAAATCCATGACTAGGCTTTATGTTGTGTCAGTATACTTTTCATATTATCCATGGCCTGTTGGGATGGTTTTGTTTTGGATTTTAGATTACGGGTTTTGGGTTTTGGTGCTCCCTTCTATTGTCCTTTGTTGTCAGTTTCCCCTGTCTCGTTTCATGTAACCATGTCCTAGCTGCTTCCCATCTCTATGGTGATAGATATTCCCTACTTCTCTGGTACTACAGTTGTTGATCCTCTGGCTCCTTCGGTCGCGTCGGCGTGTCAATCCTCAGTTTCCTGCGGTACTCTGGTCATACTTAATCCGGTACTAATATAACTAATATAAACAACCTCTATATACCATACCGAATCCGCATTTACATAAATAAGAAGACACACAGCAATGTCTGTTATACAGACTCTCTCTGCTCCTCGCCTGACAACTGCAATGTAATTCTACAACCAGACAACCTCACACGGGCACCCGGACCGTGCACAGTACGACTGAAGGAGTTATAAAGGAGGACTCAGCATGGCCAGGACACCACCGAATTAACTCTATAGAGCCCCAGGGCAAGTCGGCTGATAAAGACCCCGGTCCAAGAGCTGACCGTGATTTGAAATCTAATTAAGATCAAATATCTATCAAAGACCACAATCTGACCAAAGATGAGGACGATGAGCAAAACACCAGAACTTCAAACGGACAACTAATCACTGTGGAGAACAACTACTACATTTAAATGCTGGCAATCCCTAGTAGCATGCTAATACGCTGAACATGAAGATGAGATACAGCAGGGAGGTACGTACATGCGTACATTTACATCATGAGAGCCTCATCTGACATCTGTTGTGTCTCCCTTTCCCTAAAATTTTAATTGTGTTTAAATGCAATGAGTGGAGAATGTCAATTAATCGAAAATCAGGTTAAACATCGTATCGTCTTGGATCTTAATATAAGGAGATGCTTTTATATTTTAGTCCATATATTTTAAGGTCCACGCATGTGGTTGATGTTATAAGAGATGCTGATACACCATTTGTGACTGATCCTAAATCATCACAACGAGTACGCATGACGATGAATCTTCTACAGTTAATTATAATAAGGTTAATATCATTGGAAAATAATTCTACCAGCTGTAATCGTAACATCTTTATAATTTTTTCGAGTAGAACACAGACGACGCGACGAGGAGCAGAGGCAAACACACACTATAAATACACAGAGAGACACTGGGAAATCACACACAGGTGGGAGACACAGCTGGACCTGATTAACCTGACGAGACAGGGGAACACTAACACCAGGGACCAATAGAGGGAGCACAAACCCAAAACCCAGTATCTAAAATCCCAAACACAAACCATCCCAAAACAGCCATGAATAATAATGAAAGTAATAACAATAAAGAACACAAACATAAAGTCACTGAGTCATGGTCGCAGGACCATGACATATATGTATGTGTTATGTGAGAGTGTGCGTAATGTGGATGTCTAAGTTGCAGAATAAAATTGAGGCAAGAGGTCAAAAATGAATCAGCGACAAAACTAATTTTGAGAGCTTCACTTTTACACTCAGCTCCCTCTTCACCACACCAGACCGGTGCAGCATCTGCATCACTGCAGCCGCAGCACCAATCCGTCTGTCAATCTTCCACTACCTTCTCCCATCACTCGCGAACAAGACCCTGAGGCTACGTCCACACTAGATAGATAGTGATAGATTTGAAATCGGTTACAAAGGGCAGCATTGTCATTGTTCATTCGTGCACAATGTCCCCAGTCTCCCTTGGAATGCTGTTGAAGCTCTGCTGGAGGTGTGCATTAAAGATCTCACGGACTGGGGCCTCTGCTAGGCATTCCCAGCTAGGGCTGCCACGATTAGTCGACTAGTCACGATTACGTTGACTATTAAAATTGTCGACAACTAATTTAAGTTTTTTTAAATTCTGGGTTTGTTTTTTATCTCTACTGGTCTGGTGTAATATTAGTCGGGCAATGTGCACACTGGGTGCTCTTTAATGGGTGGAAAAGAAAATCTCCCCAGTCTCCACAAGAGCAAGTGTGTTAGCTCACATACTGTAATATGTAATTTGCTGGTAATAGAATCATAGTCAGTCTTCCAGTAACAAACGACAAGGAAACAAAAGCAAAGTAAATAACAATCCAGCCATTTCTGCTAAGTGAGAAGCTTCTCGGGATGGATATCACAACTTCTACTGTCTCCTGATTTGCTGACTATCTGTCAGAGAGGCCTCAGTTTGTAACTCTGGGGGGCACCCTTTCTGATGTGCTGGTTAGTAATATTGGGGCACCACATGACACGGTCTACATCTCCATTCCTCTTTACCTTGTACACTTCTGATGACACTGCAGTGGTTGGGTGCATTAAGGCGGGGGGGCAGGAGTCTGAGTACAGGGATCTGGTGAGGGCAACTGTAGAATGGTCCGAAAGAAACACCTCTTTCTGAATGTCAGCAAGACAAAGGAGATGGTGAGTTGGCCCATCACAACATCATGGGTGAAGACCAATTACACCTGCTTTAACACAACATTACCTACGAGCTTATTGACACAGGTAACAGTGCCCAACAGAAAGCTTGGCAGGACAGCAAAGCTGGTATTTGGTAAGCTTAGATTAATAAAAGAGATGGTGGTTGATTTCTGGAGGAAAAAAAACTGTGAGTTGGCCTATCACAACATCTGCTCCACTCCAAACTTCCAAGGCAGTGCACAACATTATCTATCTTTCCATTCCATTCCAGCCATCCATCCTCTTCTGTTTCATGAAAAAATACATTACCTTTGATGAGTCTTAACACATGTTAGCGTTTACCATTATTGACTGACTTCTATTAACTAAATTTGCTACTTACGAGCTTATTGACACAAAATAACAGTGCCCAACAGCAAGCTTGGCAGGACAGCAAAGCCGGTATTTGATAATCTTAGATTAATGTCAGGAGTAGAAAAAGGGCACACATTTTCACAAAGTACCCTTTCCAGCTTTTTAATTAATCCAAAACAACATGATTTTGAGTTGTATTGTCAGTCTGAGGTTGACCAGCATTCGGAAAAAAATTCGGGATAGTAAGATGGCAGTCAGAAAATATTAACCATTATGTAATATTCCTATTAGTTAAATTGTCTGCACAAAGCTGTAACCATATGGTTTGATGTCATAGGGGAATGCAAAGTGACTATAAGGGACAGAACACAAACGTGCTCTGCTTCCATTTGGAGCCAGTCTTAACTAAACAAGGTTTGCTGAAACAGAAAATAAAGGACATTAATTTTAACCTTCAACATTAAAAAAAAATTACTTTAATGGAATTTTTAAATTCAGCTGTTGGGAAAAACATCACATTTGTGAAACCTGCATATTTCATAATAAGTGCATTTAATGGCATAGCTAATATTAGGTATTACTTTGTCTTTCTGTGCTTTATTTACATTTTTTCAGTGGTGGGAAACACACTACTGATGATTGTCATAATTTTGGATCATACATTGAGAAGTCCAAAACATATTGGAGTTGTGAACTTTGCATTTACAGACCTGTTAAGTAGCTCTGCTTTGATGCCAAAGCTTGTTGACATTTTTCTGTTTAACCATCACCATATCTCCTACAATGACTGCTTGGCATTCATGTTTTTCTGCTTGACCTTTTTTGCAGCTCAGGCTTTTAATCTGGTTGTGTTGTCCTTTGACAGAGTCCTGGCTATCACGTACCCGCTGCACTACCAAATGAGAATCAGCCACAAGCTCATTTTATCTTTGATCGCTTTTTTCTGGCTTCTTGCAATTACTATCATACTCACTGCAGTTGGTCTTCTCACAAGACTTTCTTTCTGTGACTCTGTGGTTATTCAGAGCTTTTTCTGTGATCATGGACCTGTGTATCAGCTTGGCTGCAATGATCTTACTCCAAATCGTGTAATTGCTCATTTGGCACCAGTTCATGTTCTTTGGGTTCCACTGGCATTTATCGTGGGAAGTTACTGCTGTATTGGTTATTCTTTGTCAAAAACTGTTACATGTAGGGAAAGACTAAAGGCTTTAAAAACCTGCACAAGTCACCTTTCATTAGTGGCAATTTATTTCCTCCCTGCACTATTTATCTTTACCTTTGGGAGTACAATACTTCCAAATGCAAGGACTGTAAGTCTATCTTTGGCCACTGTCATGCCTTTGACTTTAAATCCAATAATCTATGGTCTTCAGACACAGGAAATCAAAGAATCGTTAAAGAAGTTATTAAAAGTTAAAATGCAATTTAAAATTTCTGCAAACAAATAAAAAGCATTCAGATTTGAACCTTAGCAGTACCCAATC